CACAAAGTGGCCTGCTGTTGGCTCCGGGCACTCACGATGTGGCCTGGGAGTGGTGTTCTGGCAAGATGCATTGTGATTCCAGACAAGAGTTTCACACTTTCCAACGTTATGATTTGTTGCGTCCTAGCCTGGCTGGGACGAAACGAACATGAAAGCCACGAAGTGCGATAGGGTTGCAACTTTCCAACGTTATGAATGCCTTTTTGGAGCTCTGGTGCAAGACTTCCCCACAAAAACGACGCCGTTCGTAACGTTGAAGTTTCTTGAATAAAGAATATTTGAATATTCTTATTTTAGCGTTTCCAACGTTACGAACGGCGTCGTTTTTGTTGGGAAGTCCTGCACCAGAGCTCCAAAAAGGCATTCGTAACGTTGGAAAGTTGCAACCCTATCGCACTTCGTGGCTTTCATGTTCGTTTCGTCCTAGCCAGGCTAGGACACAAAAAATCATAACGTTGGAAAGTGCGAAACTCTTGTCCGGAATCACGATGCATCTTGCCAGAACACCATTCCCAGGCCACATCGTGAGTGCCCGGAACCAACAGTAGGCCACTTTGTGCTCTTCGTGCTCCCAGAACACCACTCCCAGGCCACATCCTGGGTGCCCGGAGCCCCCCCACCCCCCCCCCCCCCCACCAAGCTCTAGGCCATTTTTGCAAACGCGTGACTGCGGCAGGCATTTGAAGGTGGCAGAAGCGAAAAGTGTCGGGAAATGTACGAGCTTAGCGTAGTCTTGGGGCCCGTAACAGCGTAGTCTTGGGGCCCGTAACAAAATGGCAGCCGTGGATGTAAAAAATTAACGCGAAACCCATCCGTAACATTGAATTCCGCCATTCAAAGATATGGAACGCAAGCTAGGCATGAACGGCCCCAGGTTGAAAAAAGTGTTTCCGTGTTTCGCGTTTATTGTTTACATTTTCGCGGGCAGCTGCCGATCTTGCCCTACCTGGAACTCGCGGCCTTTGAATGGCTAAATCCAATGTTATGAATAAATTTCGCGTTTATTGTTTACACCCACGGCCTTCCAGCAACGCTAACTTAGTATCCCTTATGCGCTACTTACGTGATATTGAACAAACGAATAGTAGCCAGCGTGGCCCCCGAACGTCGATGTCTTGCAATCCGCGCGGTGCAATCTAGGCGGTGCAACGCATGCTATGCAACCTAGGTAGCGCGAGCCACGCGGTGCAGTTCATGCAACGCACAGCGACGCCAAGCAACGCTAAGCAATGCAAAGCAACCAGACCAAAACACAAAATGGCCCAGAGCTGGTTCCGGGCACCCAAAATGTGGCCTGGGCAGTGTGTTCTGGGAACACGAAGAGCACAAAGTGGCCTACTGTTGGCTCCGGGCACTCACGATGTGGCCTGGGAATGGTGTTCTGGCAAGATGCATCGTGATTCCATACAAGAGCTTCACACTTTCCAACGTTATGATTTTTTGCGTCCTAGCCTGGCTAGGACGAAACGAACATGAAAGCCACGAAGTGCGATAGGGTTGCAACTTTCCAACGTTATGAATGCCTTTTTGGAGCTGTGGTGCAAGACTTCCCCACAAAAACGACGCCGTTCGTAACGTTGAAGTTTCTTGAATAAAGAATATTTGAATATTCTTATTTAAGCGTTTCCAACGTTACGAACGGCGTCGTTTTTGTGGGGAAGTCCTGCACCAGAGCTCCAAAAAGGCATTCGTAACGTTGGAAAGTTGCAACCCTATCGCACTTCGTGGCTTTCATGTTCGTTTCGTCCTAGCCAGGCTAAGACACAAAAAATCATAACGTTGGAAAGTGTGAAACTCTTGCCCGGAATCACGATGCATCTTGCCAGAACACCACTCCCAGGCCACATCGTGAGTGCCCGGAGCCAACAGTAGGCCACTTTGTGCTCTTCGCGTTCCCAGAACACCACTCCCAGGCCACATCTTGGGTGCCCGGAGCCAACTCTAGGCCATTTTGCAAACGCGTGAATGCGGCATTTGAGGGTGGCAGAAGCGAAGTGTGTCGGGAAATGTGCGAGCTTAGCGTAGTCTTGGGGCCCGTAACAGCGTAGTCTTGGGGCCCGTAACAATATGGCAGCCGTGGATGTAAAAAATTAACGCGAAACCCATCCGTAACATTCATTCAAAGATATGGAACGCAAGCTAGGCATGAACGGCCCCAGGTTGAAAAAAATGTTTCCGTGTTTCGCGTTTATTGTTTACATTTTCGCGGGCAGCTGCCGATCTTGCCCTACCTGGAACTCGCGGCCTTTGAATGGCGAAATCCAATGTCATGAATAAATTTCGCGTTTATTGTTTACATCCACGGTAGTAGTAGTAGTAGTAGTAGTAGTAGTAACAGCAGTAGTAGTAGTATCAGTAGTAGTAGTAGTAATCGTAGTACTAGTCGTAGCAGTACTAGTAGTAGTAGTAGTAGTAGTAGTAGTAGTAGTAGTAGTAGTAGTAGTAGTAGTAGTGCTAGTAGTGTTAGTAGTGCTGGTAGTGTTAGTAGAGGTAGTGTTAGTGTTAGTGTTAGTGCGAGTAGTAGTAGCAGTAGTAGGATTAGTACTAGTACTGGTACGAGTACTAGTACTAGTACTAGTACGAGTGTATGTTATAGTACTAGTACTAGTACCAGTAACTAGGTGGGAGTGGTATAGTAGTTAGTTAGTAGTAGTAGTAGTAGTAGTAGTTAGTCAGTAGTCGTAGTAGTATTAGTCGTAGTAGTAGTAGCAGTAGCAGTAGTAGTAGTAGTAGTAGTTGTTGTTGTAGTCGTAGTAGTCGTAGCGATTGTACTAGTAGTATCTCTGAGTAGCAGGTTGTAGCAGCAGTAGAGTAGTAGTAGTAGTAGTAGGTAGTAGTAGTAGTATGTAGTACGTAGTAGGTAGTAGGTAGTAGGTAGTAGGTAGTAGTAGTAGTAGTAGTAGTAGTAGTAGTAGTAGTAGTAGTAGTAGTAGTAGTAGTAGTGGTAGTGGTAGTGGTAGTGGTAGTAGTGGTAGTAGTAATAGTAGTAGTTGTAAAAGTAGTAGGTGCAGTAGACGTAGTAGTCTTAGTAGTCGTTGTAGGCGTAGATGTCGTAGTTGAACTATTAGTAGTAGTAACAGCAACAACAGTAGTCGTAGTAGTAGTAGTAGTAGTTAGTGGAGTAAGTGCGTAGGGAGTAGGAGTAGGAGTAGGAGTAGGCGCAGTAAGATAGTAGTAGTAGTAGTGCATAGTCTTAGTAGTATCAGTCGCTAGTTCGTAGTAAGTAGTAGTAGTAGTGTAGTAGTTAGTAGTAGTAGTTAGTAGTGTAGTAGTAGTAGTAGTAGTAGAAGTAGTAGTAGGTGAGTTTAGTGACTAGAAAGTAGTAGTGAGTAGTAGTTAGTAGTTAGTAGAAGTAGTAGTTCCAGAGTAATAGTAGTCGTAGGTCTAATTACTAATCGTCCAACGTCATGTATATAGCAAGATGTAGTAGTAGTAGTAGTAGTAGTAGTAGTAGTAGCAGCCGAAATGGTAGTAGCCGAAGTAGTAGTAGTCGTAGTAGTAGTAGGAGTAGTAGTAGAAGTAGTAGTAGTAGTAGTAGTAGTAGTAGTAGTGGTGGTAGTAGTAGCAGTAGAAGCAGTAGTCGTAGTAAC